TATATATATATATATATCTTTTAATTGTTTTTACATGAATGAATTCAATTGTAAATTATTGGCGTTAAATATACATATAATTTAATATATATTTTCTATTTTAATTTTAATGTTAGTGTTAGATTGTGCTGACAAATTTAAATATAATTTATCGTATTTTAAATAAATTATATTAATTTGAAAATTGTGGCGGTTTATAAGCTAATACCATCAGTAATGAGATATGGCGTTTCGATATGACGTAATAAGCTGAAATATTTAATTTTATGTAAAAGATACGGCGTTTGAAACCGCTACTATTTTCAATAACCTCCACATTTAACTGGGTATAAAATGGCGGTTTGCACGGCGTTTGATATTAAACCGCCACAATTTTCCTAGTGGCAACCAAATTTATGGCGTTTTTAAAAATGTCAATTGTGGCGGGTGAAACCACCATAATCTTATGGAACTAACCGCCGTAATTTATACGATTTTTTTTTGTAGTGCACAAACACCTCAAAATAATCTAATCTAGATTTCTATAGAAATTTTCTAGCTACTAACATTGCTTTGTGTTTGCCAATTAACCCATATGTCTTCAAATTTATCTTGAAGGCCCATCTGACACTAATGTCTTTTTTTTCTTTGGAAGCTCAGTCAACTCTCAAGTCTTGTTTCTTTATATAACCTTAATTTCTTCTTTCATGGCCTTCAGCCACACTTTCTTCTTGAGAGCTTCTTCAGTACTAACTAGTTCAGAGTCCACTAACATGACACAATAAATGACTTCTCCTACCGAGTCTATCTCATTATCTTGCAACATGTCAAACTCTGCAAATCTTCTTGATATTTATTTGATTCTTTGTGGCCTTTGAACTTGTTCAGAATATTCTTCAAATGCTGGAACAATTTAAGATGTTGAAATATCTTCAAAAGTTCCACCTTTAAAGGTATGACCACCGTCAGACGTTAGATTACCACCATATTCTGGGTCATCATCAGAATTTGGATCAAAATCAGATTTTCCTTTAGAGTTAGAATCACCTTCAGAGTCTCCTTCAGCTTCAGAGTTACCTTCAGACTCTGACTCATCTTCAGAGATAGAATCCCCTTCAGAGGCAGATACTCCTTCAGAAGTTAACCCAGGTGTCAACAATGCACCAGAGTTGGATTGAGACTTGCTCCAATCCCACCTTTTTGCTTCCTTCATAATAACATCTCTATTGACTTCAACTTTGTTAGTGACTGGACAATAAAGCTTATAATCACCTGTATTATGGTATCCAATCAACAACACTACTAGGCATGGCAATGAGGCGAGTCAGGAACAATTTTTACCTCCCTCAAACCTAAACCCGAATCCCTAAACAATCCCTGTTCCCCTCCCCAAACCCAAACAGGGATGGGTAATTAAAACCCAAACTCGTCCCAAAAGGGTTCGGGTATCCCCGCTCTGCCACCATCCATTTATTAAAATCAATTTTTTTAACATAAATATTTATTTTTTCCAAAATCAAATTACATTATAAATAATAAAATAAAACAATCTCAAAAAATTCCATACATTCATTTCAAATATTTTAAATAATAAATACAAATCAAATAATTAAAACATTGACCACATATTTAATATTATAAATTATCAAAAATAAATAATAATCTACATAATGAAATAAACGGGGCGAGTTCGGGGACGGGTTCGGGTGGATACTAGTGTTCCCATTATCCAACCAGTCCCCATATTTTTTAATCGGGGGAAACCTAAACCCGAACCCAAACCCATCAAAGCGGGTTTTCCCTGTCAACTTCGGGGATGGTTCTGGTGGATACCCACATGTACGGGTTTTATTGCCATGCCTAAATACTACTTTGCTTCTATCATCTAACTTCTTTCTAGTAGCACCTGAAACATGTTTGTAACAAACAAAATCAAATACTCTAAAATGAATCACACTTTTCTTATCTCCAACTCACTTCTCAAATGAACATTTTCCTTCAGCTTCTTAGTTGGACACCTGTTGAGCACATATGTTGCAGCAACAATAGATTCTCCATACAAGGTGTGAGGGAGCTTCTTCTCTTTCAGCATGCTCCTTGTCATATCAAGAAAATTTATGTTTCTTCTTTCAGCAAGATCATTATGCTGAGGAGTGTATGGAGCAGTAACCTCATGCTCAATTTCATTCTCTTCACAGTATTTCTTGAACTCTACATAGTTGTACACACCTTCATCATCAATTCTGAGAATTTTCAGCTTCTGACCACTATGTTTTCCAGCCTTTACTTTGAACTTCTGAAACTCAGCAAACACCTCATGCTTAAACTTGATGACTGCTACCCATGCCATTCTTGTGAACTCATCCGTAAAAGACACAAAGCACTTGTTTCCTCCAAGTGAAAGTACTTCAAATGATCCACATACATCAAAATACACTACTCTTAAAGCATGCTTTTCTCTTGGAGCTACTTCTGATGCAAATGGAAATCTTGGTTGTTTACCTTTCATGCATATCTCACATGACTTCTCAGGCTTCATAATCTTAGGAATTACATGTACTAGCTTCTTAGAACTCAAACGCCCTAAGCTTCTAAAGTTTAGATGCCCCAATCTCTTATGCCACAGCTCATTGTCATCTTCAGCACCTTCTGCACTAAGACATCTAGTTTCAGCTATCTTCACATTCACCTTGAATATTTTGTTACTTTTCTGCTCATATTGCATAATCACTTCTTATCATAATCATACAACTTCAATAAATTTTTCTTCATATTTACTAAGAAATATTTCTCAATGAGATGACATACACTCAATAGATAACTCTTCATACAAGGAACATACCAAACATCCTTGATCAGAACAGTTTTTTCATTCTTCACTCTGACTTTGACATTTCCCATTCCTTCAGCATTAAGGACTTATCACCAGCACATCAGATCTTTGTTCCCTTTTTAGAGTCAAAACCAATCAGCCATTGTTTATTTCCAGTTAGGTGATTTGAGCATCCAGTGTCCATATACCACCAGTCTACCAAATATCCATCATCAGATTTAAAAACCATCAATAGCACAAGATCATCATTAGAATCTCCTCTGGCTATGTTTTCTTCTTCTGACTTCCTTTCCTGTTTGACCAATAGTCAGCAGCAAATTGCCCAAACCTATTACAACAGTAATATTGAACCTTCTTCTTATCAAACTTCTCATTTCCCTTCGGATGTTGCTTCTCAATAGATTTGTAGGTTTCTGACTTCTAAGAACCACAGTCATGTCTCTTCTTAGCCTTTGACCAAGACTGCTTCTGATTTTTCTTACTACAAGACATTTTCAGAGCCTACTTTACCTCTCTTTCAGCGTTTATCTCAGTCAGACACAACTCTTGTGCCTCTAGACTACTTTGTAGCTCTTCAATTTTCATGGTGTTGAGGTTCTTAGAATGTTCAATTGCTACAACAATCTAACCAAATCGAGGAGTAAGTGATCTCAATACCTTTTCAATGATTACTTGTTCAGTGAGTGTTTCTCCACAAGACTTCATCTCATTTGTAATCAGAATCACTTTGAAGATGTAATCTGGTGTCTTCTCATTGTTCTTCATGTTGAGATTCTCATACTGCTTACTTAGACTCTGAAGCTTCACCTTTTTCACTAATGCATCACCACCGTAGCACTGTACTAGTGTGTCCCACATAGCCTTCGTCATCGTTGAATAAACGGTCTTCTCAAACACATTCGTATCTACATATTGATGGACATAGGACAACGCCTTATAGTCATTCTTCCTTGTTTCTCTATGCACCTTTCTTTGCGCTTCAATTGCATCAGTTGTAATATGCGTGTAACCGTCATTGACGAAATCAAGAACATCTTGGATGCTAAACAACACACACATCTGAATCATCTAGTGATTCGAATTCATTACATCAAAATAGTGGAAGCTTTGTGTTCAAGCTATCGTTTCCTTCGTTCATCTTTGTTTTTGTGCAAATTCACTGAGATCTCACCAACACTCGTGTTTCCCAATCCCTCAGAATTAGGAAATGTGATTATGTTCTGATTCTGATCTTTAATTCACTGTGAATTGAATGAACAAAAATCAATCACACACGTCTCACGTACACTCGTATTTCTCTGTGAATCAAACATGAACTCTAAATATCAATTGTTAATTGCACAAGATTGAAGATAAAGATGAAAAAAGAGAGAAAAAATAAACTTGTAACTTACTTTTTCTTTCAGACTAAAAAATGGTTACAAAATGAATTAATTATAAATTGAATCTCGAGTTCATTATTTATACCACCCGAAACAATTAAATGTGTATTTGAATTATACTTCAACAAAAACATGAAACCCTCCTTATCTTAAGAGACAGGAAACATCAATCTTCCTTATCTTAATATGTAAAACTACTTCAATAATTAAACCATCTTTTCATTGTTCAATTAGATAAATTCATAATTTTCATACTACATTTAACACAAATTGATGGATTCTTCTCCCAATACAAAAACTCATAATATCACGTCATTATCTCATCATCATTTCATAACACATTTTTTAAATTTTCGAAAAAGGATGACCCTTTCTCCTAATACAAATGTCTATATTGCATATTTTTATCTCATTATTTTTTCAAAATAACATCACAATAGATCTTTTAAAATTACATAAAACTATTAATTTTTTATTTTTTTATAAGAGAAAATGATTGATACGCTAATAGTGTTAAAAAAATTTACACTGTCAACCAATTACAATCATATATCCTGTCAATGTAATTTTTAAATTACTGATATAATATGACGTAATGATATATTCTCATGACAGTTTTACACGGCCAAATATATCTTCACTAACCTCTTTTTATAAATACAAAAGTTTGTCTTACCATGTCAATGCATGTGTAAATTCTTGCAACTTATATACCATACAAATCAAGGTCTCATTCTAACAATACACAAACGTGTAATTAGTTAGGAAAATAAAGGCTGAACATTAAAATTTTCAATATTCTAGCCTCAAACCTCATAACCAGGATTTACTTTTTGTTGTACATCTCCATAACTTTCCAACTCTTCCATGTCTTCCAAACTCCCCAAAAAGAGAGGAAGTCTTTGGTGAAGTTTAACTGGTTGAAGTGAAAGAATCCTACTTTTCCCATCGGACCCTCTTCCACCAGCTTGCTCCACAATGAAACTAAGAGGGTTTGCTTCATAAACAAGTCGAAGATGGTCCCTCGGATTCATAGCCACTCCCCCATACAACAAAGTTCGGTGGAGATCCGCCACCAGCGAACATATATACCTTGCAGAGTACTTCTTAGGATATCTACCTTTTCCTTGTCTCACAGTATCTATATATTTCCTTAAACCTTCAGGCCAATCAAAATATCTTGCATCATTCACAGAATATATTTGCCCTGTGTGACAAAACAAGAGAGCAATCAACAACATAAATTTAGTAACGGATTGAATTGACTTATTTGATCTTATCTACTGAAATAAACACATGGGAGATGAAAATGTTACCGCGAGGAGGAATTTTAATGTTTGGATTTGTGAGAATGAAGTCTCCCGTTGAGCGGTCGAGCGTGAATGCATGTGTACCAGAGCCAAAGGTGATGCAGAGTATAGTTGCAGATGAATATAGAACATAGCCAGCAGCTATCAGCCTATTCCCAGTTTGGAGTGAATTCAGCAAAGCCTTCTCTTCTGTAGGTAGATTATCTAGCTCCTCAAGACGCCTATAAATACCGAAAATAGTACCTGTTGGAATGGATGCATCGATATTTCGAGAACCATCTAAGGGATCTGTCACGACTACATACGGACCGTCATCACTTATCCAGGTAGGTAAATCAGTTTCTTCAGAAGCCATGACAGCAACTTTTCCAGATTTTGTAAGTGAGGACAAGATCATTTCATTCTGCAAAGATGCATGGTGGGGATATAATATAACAGATATGTAAACAATGGTTAGAAATAATTTGAATATAACAAACAACATTCAAGACTAGTATGTCATAAAGCACGGACTCGGACTCAGACTCAAACACTGAACACGTCAACACGGATAATAAGTTGCAATAATTTGAAAACTAACCATGGAAATCAAAAAGTAGAAAACAACATCCAATGTAATAAAATATAAGAGTGGAAGAAAAAGAGACCGAGATAAGATCAAGAGGCTTTGGAGCATCCCTATTAGAAAGAGTGTTTGGCGTATGAGCAAGACCCGTTTGTTTTCCAATAGTATGATGGAAAGGAGAAGCAACAAGAGCTGCAATTCTCTTGCAAGCATACTGTAGGTGATCAATCAACACCACCAAATCATCGTTGACGCCAATTCCTCCTCCCTTACCCAAATACTCTATCAATGTGACAAACCCATCATCTCCTGCTAATGGGGATGAAGATGAAGACGAAGATGGATTAACCGACGCAAAAAGTGGTTTCGCTCTGATTCCAACACCAGAAAGTGAAGACATTGTTGGGGAGTAGAGAAGGGTGGGAGTTGTTGATTGGAAAGATTGAAGCTTTGGTCGGAAGGTGAGAAGTTGATAGAAGGGTGGGGTTGTAGCTGAATGCATACTGCTTAAACTTATCCAAGTTTCAGCGAAATCTTTTCGTTTCCATTTGCGGACACATTTTCCCCCAATTTGTAGGGCTTCTTTTCTTTTTTATATACTCAATTTGTGAGTTTTTATGTTAAAACAAAAACTATATATTAAAAGGAAATTGTTTATTCGTAAGAAAATATGAATAAAAAAAGACAAGAATAAATCTCAATCATTCTTTATCAAAATCACTTCATGATTTCTATTAATTTAATTTATAATAAATTAAAAATTATCTACTAAATTAATGCTACAAGTGTATTTTTTTTTTGTTTTTAACTCAAATTCTTTCGTACTAAATAACATTATTTATATTAAAAACATCTCCTTTCATTGTAACATTTGAATTCTTTAAATGAGTCATATTTTAGTTTATCCGATCTTAAACATGAGTAATAAATTTTTTTTATGATTTTAAATATAAATAAAAAAAAATCATAATTATTTCATTCAATGTCACTATTTTAAATATACCACTATAATTTTTTACATTTTAATGTTTACAACGATTTCTAAAATAAAAAATATGAATAAAATTATAAAGAGTCTAAGAATTAAATGTATTGAGATATATTTCTTAAAATGTGAGTTTTTTTACAAATATACTTATATATGGAACCAAAGAGATATTTCATATTTCATTCTTTTTAATTATTTAAATAATTCAACTACATTTCTCAAATTCCATCGAACCCTTCAAAAACTTAAAAATAGTTCCCACCATACCATAATATACCACACATCTATATTAACTTTGGTTAATTTTTTTTTTTTTAAAGTAAAAGGAAAAAGAAGGAAATAGTTTGTAGAACCTCGTTGTATACAGCAACAACGCTTGTAAACTAAAGAACTACTTTTCCATTTAATTATCCATTGAACTCTGAGAAAGTATTTTAAAAATCTGTGTAGAAATCTTCAAACTTGACCGATATTTATAACTAAATACTTACTTTTTACTTTCATCTAATTAGAATGAATCATTTTGACATATAATTAATTTTAATCATCAAATAATTTATTTTATAATGTCCTTTAATTTAATTTCGGAATCAACTTTAGTCTCAAATTGATCTACCACTAAGTCATATTACTTTTACTTTTAGTGATTAATAATTACTAGTTTTTATCTTAACATACATTTTATGATTTTTTTTTAAGGAAACTAACAACCTCTGGGTTGACTCTTTTACCGCTATATTAAAACAAGAGAATGTTAATATATCCATGTTATTCATTCATTATTATTTGGTTAAGTTCAATTATTAGAAGAAAAAAAGTGTATGTGAAATTTCTTTAGAATTTGAATTTCATATTTGCGTGTCTATCATTTTATCTCATGTCATGGTTGTTAGTTGTATAATTCTTGTTCAGATATATTTGGGTTTTTAACATGTGTATTTGAGTTTGGGTACTTTGACTATATAAAGGACAATTATGTTTGTAATAAATAGCAGCAATAATACAATCAGTTAGAAAGTTAGTTACGCTTAACTAACTCACAATTTCTTCTTCTTCTTCCTCTCCTTGTTTTCACAAAATCATCTTTCTTGAATCCTTTGTTTCAACAAATTGGTATCAAGAGCTTGTTTGCGATTCAGTGAGAATCTAATGGCAAACGGATCAACAACATCAACACAGTTTTCAGCGAATCTACCGGTTTTCAAAGGTGAAAACTATCAACGGTGGGTTCTGCAAATGAATGTTATTTTCAGATTTCAAGATGTCGTAGAAATCTTGAATGATGGAGTATCAGAACTGGAAGTAGATGCTACGGAAGCCCAGAAAGCTGCGCACAAAGATCAGAGGAAGAAAGATGGCAAGGCGTTGTTCTTGATTCACCAGTGTGTGGATTGTGACATATTCGAGAAGATAATTAAAGAAGAAACAACAAAAGGAGCTTGGGAAAAGCTGAAATCCTTGTATGATGGAGATGAGAAACTGAAGAAGGTGAAGTTACTGACATTGAGGAAGCAGTACGAGATGCTTCAGATGAAAGAAGATGAATTTATTTCTGCATATTTCTCAAGAATTGTGACACTAATAAATCAGATGAAGGCATGTGGTGAAGCGTGTACGGATTTGCAAAAGATAGAAAAGATATTGAGATCTTTAATCGCATATTTCAATTACTTTGTTGTGACAATTGAAGAGGCCAAAAATCTATCTGAGATGAAGTTGAAAGAACTTCAAGCTTCATTGGAGGCTCACGAAATGAGGCTGCAGTAGAGAAACTCAGAAAGAGAGAAGCCAGCTGAACATGCATTGCAATCAAGATTCAGCAAGAAAGCTGGAAAAGAGAAGTCGAAGCAGCAAAAGAATCTTGTTGGTAATGAGAAGTCAAGCAAGAATACTGACTCGAAAGGTGTGGGCAACAAGTATTTTGGGAAGAAAGTTGACACGAAAGAGGTGCAATATTACAATTGTCAAGGTTTTGAGCACTATGCTAGAGACTGTCGAAGAAAGAAAATTGCAAGGTCGAAAGATAGTGATGAAGCTCAATATGCACGAGCTGGAGATAGTGATTCTGATGATGTGTTGTTGCTGGTGAACACTCAGTCGACTACTGAGAAAAACAACATGTGGTATATGGATTCAGGATGTAGCAACCACATGACTAGCAATAAAAACTGGTTTACTAAGTTAGATGAATCAATCAAAAAGGTGATAAAGTTTGTAGATGGCAGGCATATCAAATCAGGTGGTAAAGGAGATATTTCGATTATCAGAAAGGATGGTCGAAAGGCTACTATCACTGAAGTTCTATATGTACCTTCGATGACAAGTAACTTGATAAGTGTAGGTCAATTACTTGCAAAAGGCTTCAATATGAAGTTGGAGAATAATCAGATGAAGGTATGTTGGGCTGATGGGAGGCTAATAATGAAAGCACCGTGTTTACAGTTATTTCTGATAAACAACTGCTAGTCCTCCAAACTATCAAATAATCTTAATGACTGTTATTTAATCTCTCTGGTAACTTGCAGGATCGACTAGATTGATCCTATGGTGTATTGGTCATTTGGATAATTCTCATTATAGAACTGATATTCATGGTTGGTGTTTATAATGTTGTGTAGGTGTTCAACTTACTTCAATTACTCTATTAAAGATCTAATGACATGATCAAGTAAATACGTGCGAAACTAAATTGCATGAATAAAGGTTCTATTGTAAAGACATGTAAAACTGCAAAAAGGCAAGTAAATAACTTCGAAGTATAAAAGCATGTAATGTAAAAGATTCTCTGGAATGTGAAAGACTCGAAATATAAAGAAAGCGTTTAAATGCAAGAAATCAGCAAAATGACTTTAAATGAAAAAGGTATTCGAATGATAAAAGTATGAAGATAAAGGCATGAAATATACAAAAGTTTCTGAAATGTAAAGGATTTGAAATGAAAATAAAACATTTAAATGCAAGACATCAGTAAAAGACTTTGAATGAAAATACTTTAATGTAAAAGCTTTTGAATGATATTGACATAAAGATAGAGGATAAACTGGACATGATAAAGAGTTTTGCTTAATCATAAATATTTGGTGTTATCATACGTACATTGTTCGAGCATTCGTTTCCCTAGCCATGTGGTATTTTGAATGTTTACTGAATTTTGTACAATAGATATGACACACGAAATCCTAACGCTAAGACTTCTATTTATACTACTTCGACCATAACGGTCTTGCTATAAGATTCTGCCACGTTCAGAACATGCAAAGCAATGCCCCTTTCTAGCTTCCACGCGTCTTCGAATGCTCCAGCGCATATATTTTAAATTTCGAACATCCCGCCTGCGTTTGAATTTCAAATGTTTTGACACTCTTCGTTTCGAACTCATTTCTTGGATACAGCCTTGTTACCACTTCGAGACTTCTTTTGAATATATCCCTATAACTGTCACTCGAAGCTCAGAGTTTTGACATGCCCATTCGAAGCACTGCTTCTACCATTTCGAAACATGACATCTTGCTTTATTCCAACGAAACATCCAACTTGCTTCACTTCGAATAGTATCATCAAAATCTTCAGCCAACACACCGTTGGCGGAGAACAAAACATTCAGGGTTGAACTCAACACATCAGATCATAAATGTCTTGCTTTAACTACAGAAGAAGATAAGAACTTGATATGGCATCACAGGTATGTACATCTAAACTTCAAGAGTTTATGTATGCTCAATAAGAAAAGAATGGTGCTTGGGTTGCCATATGTGAAGGAACCAAAGCAGATATGTAAGGAATGCTGCAAAGCTAAACAGGCAAGGAAGGCGTTCAAACGTGACTTGCCTATAAGATCAAGGCAAAAACTGGAGTTGGTTCATTCAGATGTGTGTGGACCCTTTGAAGTAAAGTCGAATGGGGGTAACAAGTATTTCCTTGTTTTCATTGATGAACTCACCAGACATGTGTGGAATTACCTTATTAAAAGGAAAAGTGAGGTATTCACACAGTTCAAGTTGCATGTTAAGAAACAAAGTGGCTACAAATTGAAGAAGTTAAGAACTGATGGTGGTAGTGAATATACTTCTGCTGAATTTTCTAGATTTTGTAATGAGGAAGGTATAGAGCATGATGTTAATGCACCCTATATGCCTCAGCATAATGGCATAGCTGAGAGAAAGAATATAAGTGTACTGAACATGACGAGATGTATGTTGAAAGCTAAGAATATACCTAAGAGATTTTAGGCTGAAGCAGCTTCGACAATAGTATACATTTTAAATAGATGCCCAACGAAGAAGATGGTCAAAAAGATACCGCATGAGGCTTGGACAGGGTCGAAGCCAAATGTAAGTCATCTTAGAGTTTTTGGATCAATATGTTTCAGGCATGTACCTGAACAATTAAGAAATAAGTTGGATGATCAAAGTGAAGTCATGATGCTCATAGGTTATTGTGATTGGTGGAAATAGAACTGACTGTTTAAAGCTGGATTGCGTATGTCGCGGTAAGCAAGAGTCGCCACCGTCTTT